CATCTGTCTTTGTTTGGGATCCTATTTTTCCCATATATGAATTCATTTTCAGGTGTTATTGTAAACCGCATTAATTTGTATTGTCTCTTTGAATATTTCTTTCTCTTACAAAATAAAATGTCTTTGTCCCTGTGGTTATTTACAGCATGACCTATGATACAATCGAATAGTTACGAAGAATAGTGACAGTAGACACATTTAAATTCCGCAAAAGCGCCATCATTAAAATAGAATTACTCAGTCTAACCATGTGATCCTTGGAAGGTGGTAAATACAGTGCAATTTTGATAAGGAAAACGAAAATTAATCAATTCTCAGTCAAACTCAGTGAATTTCATTTAATTGACAAATTCAGTAATACTCGTAATGTTTTGCTTTGAATAATCAAGAATTCTGTTATTATACTATAGAAATTTACCCAAAGGAATCTAATAATATCAGCAATAATTGTCCTTTTTCTAGATCGATTTGGATATTTCAGTTTTATACAGAAAAGTCAATATGTTCCCTATTGTTAATTTTCCTTTTTTGGACGGGATTGTTCCTTTCGGTTTTCATACGGTGCATATATTTCCCAACTCGTTTGCTATGTCCCATGTTTGTAGTGACGTTTTTTTAAACAAAATAAACAAAAATTTGGAAAGATTTTAAAAGGGGTATTAGCTACGAGATATTAAAAAAAAATATTCATTTTGTTCAATCATTAATGAAAGTAAAATAATGAAATAATAATTTGCTTTTAGCAGCCAGTTTGGTTTAATTTTGTCAAAAAAGCTAAGAAACATCGCTGAGGATCACTTGCAAGTGAATAATTCGACCTCATTGAATTCGTATTCGTGTGACCTTCAATTTAACCCATTAGCTTGAGATGGGACACGCATGTATTCAACTATTGAAAGGAAAAGAACGTAAACATTTATAGTGAATCAAGAATGAACCATTTGGTTGACTGATTCGATCCATAAAAATTTCATTCTTATACAGATAAAAACGATGATAAACATACTTATTAACCTACAATATGAAATCAAACAGACTTAGAAAAACCATTTTGCATTTGGTCGCTATCTATTTATATTTTTATTTATGTTTATATCGGGTTATATGACCGTCGGCAGTTTTCGGAGGTCATCTCGATGGTTAATTAGATGACGTCTAAAAAAAAATTAAAAAACAACACGAAATTCTGATTCCTATTGTCGAGTCCATGCATCGTAAATTGTTTATTTTAGACTTTTTGTAATTTGGATATACGTTTTAGTAAGTTAAGAATCAAATGGCTGCTGCTAGGTGAAAGTTTATATTAACAGTATCGTCTTGAATATGCATTTAATTTGTCGCTGGACGTTGAACAGCCATCCATCATCATTAACAGTACAATAAGTATTATTGAAAGTGTTATGAAACGTTGACTATTAAGATATTTGCCGTTTATCCGTGCTTTTAATGTATTTATAGGATCAGTTAACTCGTGTGAATATAGGTCTATCTTTCTTACTTAAAAAAAACTTGATGCCTACTCTAATACTGTATACATTGATCATTTGAGAACTCTAAGTATTTCTCATTCAGCTGACAAAATCACGCCGTGTGTAAAATCTGTCATATAGTTATGTAGATATAAGAAGATGTGGTATGAGTGCCAATGAGACAACTCTCCATCCAAGTAACAATTTGCAAAAGTAAACCATTATAGGTCAAAGTACGGCCTTCAACACGGAGCCTTGGCTCACATCGAACAGCAAGCTATAAAGGGTCACAGAAATGACTAGTGTAAAACCATTCAAACAAGAAAACAAACGGTATAATCTATATAAAAAACGAGAAATGAGAATGACTTATGAACCACATCAACAATCGACATCCACTGAACATCAGGTAGTCCAACCCAAATTGCCCATTTCAACTTCGCTTTACTTATGTCAAGATTTTCTTCAATGGTCTGGAATATGATAATGGTCAAGTTTAAAGATAGACGTAACGTAATCGGTCAACGGAAAGTGCGAATCGAGAAAACGTTTCTTACGTGGAGTAGTGATATTTTCTAATGTAAAACTATAAATATGCATACTTTAACTTTGTTTAAACCTGTTTATTTACGTTTGACTTTAATTATTTATCCCTTGTAATTTTTTATTAACTGTGTATTTGCATTCAGGTGTCACAGGTTAAATTTATTCGTTCATTGTGTGTTAATTTACGTTTTTTGATTGAGTTAAGCCTTCCAATTGATATTTTATAGTGTGTTTTTCTATGTTGTGATGTTATACTATTGTTTCAGAAAAGGGAGAAGGTTTGGTACCATTAAAACGTTTAATCCCGCTGCAAATGTTTGCACCTGTCCTAAGTCAGGAATCTGATTACAGTAGTTGTCGTCTGTTTATGTAGTTCATACGTGTTTCTCGTTTCTCGTTTTTATATAGATTAGACCGTTGGTTTTTCCGTTTAAATGGTTTTACACTAGTAATTTTTTGGGGCCCTTTATAGCTTGCTGTTCAGTGTGAGCCAATGCTCCGTGTTGAAGGCCGTACCTTGACCTATAATGGTTTACTTTTATAAATTGTAACTTGGATGGAGAGTTGTCTCATTGGCACTCATACCACATCTTCCTATATCTATATACTCCATGACAAAGATGTTTTCGGCAATGAAAAATATGTTTAATATTAAATTATTTTCGTTGTCAGTGTAATGTTTATAAATAATGCATGACTTCCCTTTTAGGCATTTCCTTTATGGATTAGTTTTTGGGATATAAGGAATTTCTTATAATTTTTGAAATTATGATAAAAATTGTGTTTTAGACATTAGATGACAAAACAGTACAATGAAATGGTAGGAATTGTATATGTTTCCTGATTGTGAGTATGAATGTAAATCATGTAATATTTTAGTGAGGAATTATCTTTTTTTATATACAGTTCAAATCATTAAATTCAAAATTTGAGTTTCAACTAAATTTTATTCACAGCCAATACGTTAGTTCAGCTCTTTACATCAAATACTACTTAATTATATCAGGGAAACGTTCACATAAAATGCCTTTAAGAGTTTTAAATATATTCAAAATTTAATTAAATTCCTGTTTTTATTTTTTATCGGAATATTGGAAATTACTATTCTTCCCAACCGCGGATCCAGTAATATGAGTTTTGGTAGGCGTATTAGCTAAAGATTTAGTTATGTTTAATTTGATTTGTTTCTTCTTTTTTTGCATTGCTTTGATATTGTTTAATGTTTTAGTAATTTTAAGTTATTAATATTCTCACAATGTCATCAACGGATCCAATTTTACTGCACCAGTAAATTTCAACTTTTGATTTTTTTTGTTTGTTTCAAGATTCAACTTTTAGCCAGTTTCAATCACAAATCCTTTCAATCTGATAGGTGTGCTTGCGGCCAGGTGTAACTCATTTACCGAAAATCTCTGTTTTGAACTGTAAATAGACATAAGCAATAGGATAATCCCCTACTAAGAACATGCTTTACATTCATTCTTCACAATTAGGAGACATCAAAGCCTACAATTACATTAGTCGAGAGCACTTTGCTTTATTCAAAACATATTTTTGGGCATACTATGCCTTAATTTTTGTCCAAATGCACAGGTTTGTCTGCCCTCGGAGTAAATTTTGTGGTGGAATCGTTTAGTTTTCAAAATTGAACGATTCTCTACTTTCGGTTTAAGTTGGTTGTCGGCTGACTACTACATTTTTTTCATGGTGAGTGTAGCGTAAAACAAGTGGATTCCAGTTTACTTTCGGTTTTGGTTTGTTTATGCATTACTATGGAAATTTACCTCAGGAATAGATTACCTTAGCTGTATTTGGCAAAACTTTTAGGAATTTTTGGTCCTCAATGCTCTTTAACTTCGTACTTTATTTGGCCTTTTTAACTTTTTTTGATTCGAGCGTCACTGATCATGATGAGTCTTTTGTAGACGAAACTTCAATCCTGGTATCTACGATGAGGCTATTTATAATATTTAGAAACAGGTTATGGTTAGCAAACCCGGAAATATTCCGATCGGTAGTTGTAAAGTTAAGGGCCGTCATTCAAACGTTTTAGCAATAAGGGGTTTAGGTATTCTACAAACACTCATAAGAATAAGATATTTGGCATCGTCCAAAGTAAATGGTATGGTCCAATACTTAGTATAAAACCTGATGCGCTGTCAGAAACAGGCTGACCGACCGTGCAAGGGCTGTATAGCCAGTCAAGGTCGTTAAAAACTTCCATTTATTATAAACAGGCTAAATAGCCAGTCAAGGTCGTTAAAAACTTCCATCATCAAAAAGGCTCTCTAAGAGGATAATCAAGACGTCTAGAAGAAGCAAAAAGGTACTTATTTACATTTTGAAATTAATTAAATAGATTCTGAATAAGAATCTATCTGCGTACCTGAATAAGGTTGCAGGGAGTATATAAAATGAACATACGCACCGGGTAATAGGTGCATAGACGACTGTGCGATTATAGTGCACAAGCAGTAAAGTAGAGTGCTCTGGTTAAGCAGTGCACAAGTAGAACAGGCCAGATAGTGCACATGAATAGCAGTGCATAGGTAGAACACATCAAAGATCCGATAGTGCACTGGTTGCTGCACGACACATACGGACTGCAAAGTCAGGAACACATCCCGCACATTACTAGCGGATGACAGTGGCCAAAATAACAAGTACACGATAGATATTAGAAACAGTGCATATTCCAATATCTAGGGGTAAACTCTGGTACGATACCCATTAGTCACTACACCGAGTAACTTTCCATTGGACAAGAAGGGGTGAGTATGTTCAAAAATAACAAAAAGCTTTTGTTGATATACAATATCTGACTTTTGAATTGTATTTATAGTTTCATAAAACGAAGTTTTGCTATACAAAAAGCTTTCAGAATATAGTGCCATAAAAGAAATCTTACGAACAAATGTTAGTCTATATTACCGAGACTTGCATCAACCAGCGCAAACATTGAAAACAGATGTATATGTAAACATGTTAAATTGAATGTTCTTTGTTATTGAACTGCTTTATTAAATCAATCATCGGTCCATAAAGGGCATGTTACATAATAAATAGACATAAGTAAAGAATCAATAATGATAATGACAATTTGAAGTTAAGTTATAACTATAACAGTTGTTTTCTTATTGTAAAACATTCATAACAAATCAAAGCCACAGTGTTGCATATTTCTCCATGTTCACATGAAAGAAGCCAAATAAATTATTTTCTGTATTTACGATTTTAAAAATTAATACATATTTTAAAGCAGAATCTAACATAACTTATCGTTGTTGTTCGAATGTTGGGCATTCCGTAAGAAAATTAATTTTTATCTTCAATCGAATTTAACGAACAAAATTTACAAATTATTTTATCTTTGCCAATCTTGTTTTAACGACCCTGATCAATAGCTAATGTGACTTATCTATTATGAAAGACTGTTTGATAGTTATTGAACCGTCACACAGGTTCTTTAGTTTCATTGATTCTTTTTCTTCTTATCATTTTTACTTAAATGCTTTCGTCCCTTTCCCCTACTCCCTTTTCTGTTCTTTCTTCTTTTATTTGTCTTTTTTCTAGATTTCTTGCATTTAGACAAAATATTTTTATGTCTGGCACAACAACTGTTGCATCTTTTTATAAACTTCTTTTTACATCTTGTTGCATTTTCACATTTCTTGCATAGCTTGTTTAAACGTTTTCCACGTAGGTTGCACTTTTTCTCTTTAGCTTTGGTACATTTATTTGGTACATCTTTCCCTTTACAGCATTTTCGTTTGCATTTCTTTCCAAGCCTTTTTCTCTTTAAGCACTTTGTACAGAATTTATCCGAGATGACTGGGGTTTCAGTTGATAGTTGTGTATATGAAACAGGCATTTGTGTAGAAATATGATACAGAGACATCATTTGTTTACAGGCTTCGTCTTTTTCGCGTTCTTCGACAAGTTTGTTTATTCTTTTTTTCTTCAGACAAAAGTCATCTAAAACGAAATATTCCATATAGAATCGTAACTAACTTAAAGGAAATAAACTCTAGTTGTGAAAATTTTTATGAAAGATGCATAAATATATAGTTTAGGAAAGATTCACATCAATATACTTTAGGAAAGACACATATTTATATATTGAAGGAAGGTACATATCTATACCGTATATCTTAGGAAAGACACAAATCTATATATTCTTGCGGCAAAAACTTCACATCTGGTTTTAAATAAGAAAAGAAAATGCACACAAGTAAGATAAACCATAATGAACACACGATCTGCACAGATGTATACATATCTTTAGAATATGTGATGACCTAAAGGAACAATGATAGACATTTATGAATGCTGTGTTAAATTTAGACATAAAAATCATATAAATCACATCAGTTTTAAAATATTTTGTGTCTTCTCGGTTTGGTAATCCAAAAAAGCCATGCCTGTTCTCATTTGTTCTATGTTTTTGTCTCTGACCTCGTTTTTTTTTCTTTTCTACGATTTATCTAACTTACGCGTCGTTTGAATCATATCAACTGGTTGGTTAGCATGGTTAGCTGTTGATATAAGCCCATCACATGCCGACATATTTTTTGCTCCTCTCTCTCCAACATTCAATCCTGAAATTACCAGATGAATCGTATAAAAAGATGAAGTAAATGTAGAAAATATCTATCTATCTGTAGATTGTGCAGATAAGGTCATATATTCGCGAGTATCAATTAGTTCATAAGAAAAAATATTAAAATAAAAAAAGATAAGGATATTTTGGTCATAAAATAACACATTTATTAAGTGAATAATGCCAATGAGACAGCAATCACACTACCTACCCCCCCCCCCAAAAAAAACAAACACATATCCCCGTCCCCCCAAAAAATAAACATCGGGTCGTCGACAAGAGACAAATGTCAATACAATATGTAAAGCGCAAAATAGCACAGAGTCTGAAAAGGTTGTGAATACTTTGAACAGACTCAAAAGGATCTGCCATCAACCCTAAATTCCTTAAATACAAACTTAGAAAAGAAAAAGACCGACGCACGCAAAAGTACACAGAAAAAAATCCATGAACAACAGCAACATTAAGATTTAACTGAAAACATTCATACATTCTAGTGCTCAGAAAAGCACAGTCATCCATTTTAAAATTATGTGTTATGATCACTGTACGATACATGTATATTTTCTTTTGTTAATATGTCTATATCTATCTATCTTAAAATACATTTTATATGTTACCTTTCGTGTAATTAAAGAACGAGAAAGAGATAATGTTATATTAATGCAGTTAATCTTAAGGAAAAAAATATTATCTATTAATATAACTTTTTTATTTTTGTCTATTAACGTTTTCTATGTTTTGTTTTGGGTGAAGAACAGTAGTTAGTTTTAAACATTACGTTTGAAGCATATAAGAAAGCCAGATCCTCCTTTTGTTGTGGCAGGATCTGATGTAAAACTAAACACGATCTTCGTATCGGCAGCAGAAAATTCCCTTTGGTAACTGTTGTTTGACACTTGTACTCCATTAATACTAAAATGGTCATTGTCCTCATCTATGTTCATCAAGTCAACAGATACTAGAAATCGTTCATCTGCCACTGGTCTTAAGTGGATGGTTTTAGTACACCGAGCAGTTAACGTTGTATCTAGATAGTCAGTGAATGTATCTTTGCCATAAAGCCATGGAATGCTGTCGTGACTTCGTATAATTCCTTGTTTAATATTTGAACCTAGGTCTATTTTACTGTCACAGATTTGCCCTACATATGTGTGTGGACTTTCTGAAATAAGGTAAAAGATATACATGATATAGCAAAGGGGTTTATTACAGTCAGCGACCAAATGATATGATTTCCGTGCGTACAACAAGTATCTCTGGAATAACCTTCATCGGGTATGACCTTGACCAAACGTCTTGACAAAAAAATATAAAACGTTGGAGTGCTTTAAAAACAAACCATTTAACTTTAAAGACAAATTTTGACTGAGTTGCAATCTTAGTTTTTGGTACGATCACAAAATTAAATGCAGTATTTTTCTGTTATGCAAACTAAAAGAATCATTTAAAATCGTTCCAATACCAAAACATAAGCTATTTGGAGCACAGAACTATGCTTAGAACATCTATACAACACGTGGCATCTTAAGATTTTTAATCATAAACCCTTTGCTCATTCTGAAAATGTGACAAAGAAACCAAGAAAAAAATAGACGACAACAAGGTAACAATCATACAACCAAAGGACAGACCACAGAAGGTTTTTAAATTCATGTACTAGTAATTGGTAGTCTAAGTTTGAAAATCATTAAATCAAATAGTGAGTAGAGAAATAAATCAAGCGAAACTCAAATATTTTTTTTATCACTTTTTGATTAGAAATGTAAATTACATTGGGTTTACTTACTCGTCATATCAACACACTGCCAATTGTGGATGTACAGAGATTCCACTTCGGTAAAACATTTTAATAATGGCGTTGTCGGGAATCTAATCTTACAACGTTGCTTCCAGTAACATTCGGAAGTATCAACTAGGAGTTCTACCGTCTTTTCTTTGCAAGATGGGTTTTTGTTATTACAGGGTTCACTCGCTGCCTTTATATCAGGTCGATATATAACACTGCCAGATGGACAGCTGATGTTGACTCCTTGTTGCTGACAGGTATCTACAGTTGTATTTTTGTCTATACATATTTGCTCTGAACTAATCGCACTGGCTGTAAAAATGAAAGTAAAATGACTATAAATTCTTATCAATGTAATTTATTTTTCAAATTAATGTCTTTTATTGAATCAACGGAAAGACATGTTTTTAGCTTGTTAATTATTCAATGTATGTGAGTTGCAACAAATAAAATTGCGATCATATTTTTTAAGGCCCATTAATTCAAATAATACATTTTAAATTTATGAGAACATGACCTATAGCTGTAGTTGGAGATCGTATAAAAAGAACGAAGAATTGTGGAAAAAAACGTAAATTAAGTGGAAGGAAAACTTATAACTTATCATTTTATAAAGACATCCGAAAATTTCAGTTATACTCGTAAAATTAGTAAAACACAAAGGAAATGAGAAAATTTAAATCTTCAGACAATACAAAAGTAGGGTCGAAAGAACAACTATCAAGGAACTTATTATTTATTATCTTTTGTCATAACGTATATAAAACAAATAAATTAATACTTTTTGGAGTGTAAAACATTCTTTATATAAAAATAAGGAGATGAGGTATGATTGCCAATGAGACAACTATCCACCAGACTTAAAAAGAAGTGGTGTGTTTTGTATAACTTGTGTGCTTTTCATGGTCTTTTCAATTAGGTTGACAGTTATGATATTTCGACTCTCTCACTTCCACAAAGTCATATTAAACAAAACTTTTCTTATTTGAATAAATGGGCCTTTAAACATATGATCGCAATTTTATTTATTTAATTAATATATACAACAACACTTACTGTTAACTTGATGATATTTTTGCGTTAAATGCAAAGGAATTCTCTAAATATACTGCCGAAGTTTACCCAAGGGAAGTTACTTATATAAATTTAATATAAACAGCAATAACTGTCCTTTCCTAGATTTAGGTAATTTCAATTTCACACGGGAAATTCAAGACAAAAAATACGACAAAGGGGACAATTTTCCTTTTTTGGACGTTGATGTTCCTTTTGAACCATTTTATAGTGTTTATACCCAACTTGTTCGCTATGCCGTTGTCTGTTGTGACGTTGTGGATTTTAATGAGCACAATCTATGTAGCACTGGTATTTCAGGAATTTCGTTACCACAAATTACTTAAAGCCTTTACTAAATTCTTTCATAGATAAAAGAGTTGGTTTGACACTTTGGTTGTACCTTTAGAATACTTATTACAAACGGGATATCATATCCTCATTTTTTACGGCGATGTTGTTTTTAGAGTCCGCTTACTTAAACTTATCATTAGAATGAACTTATGCTTAAAGGTTTTAATTTTTACTCTTTGGTAAGATCTTTGAATATTGTCTTTATCAGTTCAAGCATTGAATTTGTTATCCATACATTAAAATATAACAAAGTATGTATTCCTATATATCTAGTCTAAACCAGGAGTCTGCATTTTAATGGTTGTTGTTTGTAGCTGTCTATCATATTTGATTTTCGTTTATTCTTTTTTTAACATAAACCAAACCGTTGAATTCGATCTGGTTTGTTTTTCATTTGGTCATTTCGGGACCTTTTAAAACTTTTATAAGGTATGAGTTTTGTTAGTTCATTGTGGAAAACCGTATGGTGACATATAGTTGCTTATTCCTCATCTACGTGATTTTGTCTCTATTGGATAGTTATCATATTGGCAATCATACCATCTACTTATTTTTTCTATGGTAACTGTTTTTTAAAATCAGTGATATTAGTATTAAGAAATTTAGAAACGATGCAAAATAATTATTATTATAATGGACTGTAATGTTATTGGCCGATAAGACATTCATTTTAAGTTTTAAAGTTTACGATTTTCTATCAATTCGTCAAAATGTAATAAAAAATTTCCTGATATACTGCTACCTTTTTCTTGATAAAAAAATCAATGATCATACGCAATACTAGCGTGCTAGAATTCTACTTGTATGTGTAGAGGCAAAATGTTAACAAAATATAAACAAATAAAACAAAATAAGAAAATATGAAAATATACTAAATATTGCTCTTTACATAGGTAAGAAAAAACCATAGAATTAAAAAATAACGATTAAATAAGTATTGTCAATATTGGTATTACAAAACACGCTGATTTTGATTATAAGTAATAACCAAATACAGAACAGTATTTGCTTTGCTTATTTATCTTTTTCGCTTCGGATACAGCCACTTTTCTGTAACGAAAGATGTAGTGTTCATAAAACAGTTTACCTGCTAAAAGGATAATGAAAGAAAACGACGCTGTCAGGTCCGTTAATAAAGCTCCCATTTCATATTATAAATATTTAAGAATTGATTTATTGCTATAAATTTATATGAATTTATACTATTTACAATGAAATTTACAAGCTATTCATTACAATTGGGATTCCCCATAATTGTTTGAGATCATATAAAATTTACATCCCTTCCGTGTCAGTGTAGAATGTCGCGATAAGTACCATTTCCCATCTGATCAATTGACATTCACTAATTTTCAAATTAAAATATATCCGATAATCAATGAATTTTGTATGTAAATATCAGTTTTGTTTGTTTGATTGGTAGGGAAAATGAAAATACGCAACATATATATTGTGTTAATGTTTATTTATAAAAAATTCAAAACTGAACTGTGAAATACATTGCAATCATTAGGAAATGCCGACGGAAAGTTGTCATATTTTCCTTAAAAAATTAGCATTACTGCTATTCATTTTTTAAAATTAAACGTGGGACAACAATACTCAGTTTATGAAGTGGAAATTTCTGTTTAATGTACTTAAATTCACAATTATGTCCCAGTACGAAACTTAAAGACATTGGATTCTTATGGGGCTACCAACAGTATTAACACGGTCTACCATAAGATATGGGTCATTCATCAGGTACAAGTCAAATTTTGCGTCATGTTTTGTTTATTGTTATGTAGTTTTTAAGTTAATGGACTTTCGATGGTATACGTTTCCAACTTTCAGTGATAAAACAATTAAAACAAAAATATACTGTTAATAAAAAAAATAGAACCAGATATGGTATGTATGATTGCCGATGAGACAACTATCCACTTGAGACCAACATGACGAGGATGTTAAAGAACTACAGGTCAGTGCCGGCCTTCAACAATGAAAGAAACCCATACCGATTAGTAAGCTACAAAAGGCATCGGCATACAAAATGTGAAACAATTAAAAAGAGAAAATATATTTATGCTACGACAATAATCTATTGAAACATTGTGCAGTCGGCTAACAAAAACAACCACTGGATTATATGCTTCTGACTGGACAGGCACATAGGCCTTTCGGAATTTAGGGTCCTCAGTGCTCTTTGGCTTCGTACTTTATATGGCCTTTTTACCTGGAGCGTCAATGTTGAGTCTTTTGTATAAGAAATGCTTGTCTGGCGTAAAAAATGTAATCCTGGTATCTATATGATGAGTTTATATACTGAATGTGGAGGAGTTAAGCAAGCTTGTACAAGCCCAAGGCAACCCTCTTAACATGGCGACAGTCGTGGTTTAACAGCACAGCATAAAAACTAACGGTTAAAACTACTTTGGAAATGGCTTGGCTCATGAGATCGGTAGTAAACACAAATACAACTTACAGAAAGACGAAGGACACAACGTACCGATAAAGGAATACTCACGGTTACGAAAAAGCTATAATTCAAAGCCCGATTTCAACTAATAAATAAATCATGTTTCCCAAGACTAATATAGAAGTATATCGATTATCAAAGAATTATGTGTGTAAAAAAGTGTTGTTTGGTTGATTGACAGGAAAACCGAAACAAGCAACACATATAGTGTTTATGTTATTTTTAAACAATTCAAAACGGTTCTGTCCAATATATTGCAATAATTAAGGAATGTCGATGGAAAGTTGTGAAATATTTCTTTTCAAAGCGTAGCATTTTAGTAATTCATTTTTTAGATTACAACGTTGGACTTAATTAAGAACTGAAAATTTCTGCTAAATATACCTACAATCATATGATTAATGTCCAAGTGTAAGCGTACTTTATTTCTGTGTGTAGAAATTCCAATGCATGAAATGCACTAGTGTATTCCATCTGCACACAAGTGTCGGAAATGAAATCCCGGGGAAATGTGTCAGGAACTGTTTATGCTATTGTTTTTCTTTCTTTCAAAAAAAGAGAACACTGCCGGAAAAGTTTCGATGTTACACAATCACGGAACTTAGACATTGGATGCTATTGCATGGGGCTCACAATCATCAATAGTGGTATTTCAAAACACAGTATAAAATAATATATCATGCAACAATGGAACTGAAACAACGTCCTCTCACTCAGATTTTCAGCAATCTCGACAGCAAGTATTTGACGATAAATACCAAACTTAGTTTACTCGTAAAGCTACAGAAGACTGCTTCCCAATGTGTACCTGAATTTTGTGTATTTTCACGTAATATTTTGTTCTATAGTTACATTTATTTTTGAATTAACATTGTTGTGAACAGACATTTTAAATAAGGTATGTTTTATTTTATTGTCAAATGTTATTTTAAGAAGATTTGTTTGTAAGGGTTAGGAGTGTGCATGGAAGACATAAGTTTGTTATCGCTCTTTGACATGCTCATGATTGCTATTTAATTAATAGGTGTTGGAAACCTTAATAGAAGTTATCATTTTGTACAAATTATAATTTGTACAACCAAATGTACAAATTATAATTTGTAATTTGACTTTGTAAAGTGCTTGTACAAATTATAATTTGTACAAAATTTGACTAAAATATACTTATAACTTGTACAATAAATCATAGTATGGATTTTGTTATAACAAAAGTATTGATACACACTATAAAAAAAATTGTATTCAATGACCACACAATAAACCTTATTTACAAAATACAAAAAATAGTTCTGTATCAGTTGTTTGAGCATGTGAGTGAATTATGACATCAGGAATTGCACAACATATTTTGCTTTTTACATTTACATGTAGAAGTGCTGCACCCCCTTTGCATTTACATGAAAGAAACCTCTGACCACCAGTTTTTGAAAGCTTTTTAACTGCTTCACGTAGCGAAAGTTGAAGCTCAGGAACCGTTACTGCGAACAAAGATATGTCTATTGATTTAATCCCAAATCTTGAACATCATAATATAAAACAATACTCAAAGGACGTGACTGTGTATATATACATCCCAAAATGAGTAAAATAAAACTGCTAGTATTTCTTATTGATGCCGTTTGGATGATGTACATTTAGTTCCTTTATCCAAAAGCTTTCCCGAACCTGTTGCTGGGCATCACTCCAGTGAATGTTCTGTTCAATCACTAGGATTTTCATGCGGTTAAAGTCATCAAGTTTGTGACCCGACTGTCTGAAATGCTGACTTACTGGGAGAAGTGGCTTCTTAGAGATATCGCTCATATGGCCATTGAAGCGTTTGTGGAAAGGCTGCTTTGACTCACCAACATATTTGAGGCCACAAACCGAACATTCTAGAATGTAAATAACATTCATACTTTGTATATATATATACAGATATATATAATTCGTCTAAATAACAGCCCAACAATGTTAGATCTGTAAATTTGCGAAAGCAAATTTTTGTTCTTCCCTGGCCGGTATTCGAACTCATGCTACTGAGATATCGTGACACCAAATCGCCTTGCACTATGCCGGGCGCGCTAGACCACTCGACCACCTAGGCTCGACAAAATCAAGCTTTCGGTGGCCGGGTGTTAACTTTCCTCGTCAGTTTTTATCTAGCGTCGTAACACAGTACATGATATATAAAGCATGAAGATGGAATATTACAGACCAGCTGAATTATCTATCGTAGAGGATCTTTCAAATTAATGTTGGATGCAGTCACAGAAATAATTAAATTATAAGTACGTCTGAACCAGTTACAACTCTACGACAGATTTTATCCATCGGATATATATATACACACACAATATTCAATGTTGATTACCTAGAACATTTGATACATCAAAATTGTTTTTTAGAGTACCTTATTGAATTGTATCAGGACTGGCTACCAGGTCATGAATTAAAGTTCTTAGTGTAGTGGATCTGTCACATACCTTAAAACTCATCAAAGAAACCAGGCTTATAATTTTATACGCCAGACGCGCTTTTTATGTCTACAAAAGACTCATCAGTGACGCTTGAATCAAAAAAAGTTAAAAGCCCAAAGTACGAAGTTGAAGAGCATTTAGGACCAACAAATCCGAAAGGTTTTGCCAAATACAGGTGAAGTAATCTATATTTAAGGTAAAAAATCCTTAGATTTTCGAACAATTCAAATTGTTTTAAACAGTTAATTTATTATTATAATTATCATATCAATGATAATTCATGTCAACACAGAAGTGCTGACTACTGGAATGTTGATAATTACATTTCGTTTCTTCTTTTCATCGATTATTTAGTGTCATTACACTTGCATCTGTAGTCATTCTTTCCATCAGTCAATACATTTAGGCAAAGTAGTTAACAGATGTTTAAACATCAATATTGAGTAAAAAGACAAATCAATGTACTTTAGTACGGAAGCCGATAAGGGCCATTCAAAATTTTTTTTTTATGTCGTAATAACGACATCACTATGTCATAATTTCGACATAACATATCGCTATGTCGTAATTTCGACATAACATGTCGTTATAACGACATCGCTATGTCGTAATTTCGACATAACAAGTCGTAATTACGACATCACTATGTCGTAATTACGACATAGCTATGTCGTAATAACGACATCGCTATATATATAAATCAATATGTATTATGATTGCCAAGAGACTAAGTGACACAGAAATAAACAACTATAGGACATCATAATGCCCTCAATAATGAGAAAAGCCCCCGCATAGTCAGCTATAAAAGAGGGACGAAAGATACCAGAGGGAGAGTCCCCGAAATGACAACTGTTTAACAATTTAATTCAAACGAGTGAAAATAACGGTTTTAATAATGTACAAACAAAGACCGAAACAGGAATATGTAACACAGCAACAAATGACAACCACTGAATTACAGACTCCTGACCGCTATCTGATAATAACGACAACCTTATAGTTTAACTTTTCACTTTTTGAAGCGATAGGAATTTCAAAATGGTCGCCAATAAAGGCAAAGTTTGTATCGTAAACAAATTCATCTTTATTTTTTGAGAATATTGAACACTTTATGCAATCAAGCTTAATTAAAGTTATTCACTAGCACCTCAGACTTGCACATACTAGAACTTTATTTATAATCAAGTCAAATGAGACCCAGTTGAATAGGGGAGCAATTCAAGCTCCCTGGAGCCTCTAATTATGTTTGGCATTGCAGGTTCTGAAT